GGCGAGGGCGGGGGTGGGCAGCTGCTGCGGGGGGTCAAGTCCTACCCCTTCATGTCAACAATGGACGCGTCATACAGGTGGGCCCCCTGTTTTGATTGTGCGTGGTGTATTCGGTGCCGCTGCCGTGCGGGCTGGACTCGCACGGCGCCGCGGCCGCTCGTGTCGCGCCCGGCCCCAAGACGATGTAGTGGGCTGCGTCCGCTCTGCAAGCCGGCACAAGTGGCGCAGGGTGTGTGGTACTGCAGCACAAAGTGTGGTGTCACCGCCGCTGGACGGGCCTGCCTGCTGCCAGCGCCGCCTAACCCTGCAGCCACCAGCCCCGGGCCTGGAAGGTCTCCCGGCGCCCGTTGCGATTGTGGCGCGCCACCAACCTGCGCCCTGCGTTGACGCAGTGCTCGAGCAACAAAAACAGCCGGCACAAGCAGGGATCTAAGCGGGGGTCTTCAGCTCTTGACTTGCAATGCCAACTCTTGGGTGGGCCATCCCCGCCCCTCTACACCCTGACAAGACCCTCCCCTTCGCGACCGCGCGGCCAGACCCCTCACCCCCACACGTCAAACCTGCGCACCCCTCCTTCCCACCCGTCAGCCCCGAGCTGGTCCAGTTGCTGAGTCAGCAGGCCACCTGGAGCCTGCTGCAGGCCGAGCCGCAAGTCAGGGCGCTCATGCGGCACGCCGCCAAGGCAGCCGGCGGCGGGTGAGGGTCGCAGGGAGCGGCGGCGGCGGCGCCGCAGCGGCTGAGCGCACGTGACGCAGGAAGGGCTCGGCGCTCGTCGGTTGGGGGGGGGGGCACATACATGGGGGGCATGGGGTGCGAATGTGGGGAGGGGCATCTCTGCTGGGAATGCTGCGTTGGAATTGCTGACGGGTGCTGAGTTTAGATTCGTAATTGAGGGTCCAGCGTCAGTGACGTTGGGGGCGCGTTCATGGTGTGCCAAACGGCTGCCGCCCAACGGTTGGGATGCGACCTCATCACCTGCGGTGTTGTGGGGTTTTCAGAGGTGCCCAGGCGTGCGGCGAGCTGTAACAAGGTGTCGGCGGTCACGTTCTTGCGGGACGCGTGGGAGAAGGTAGCGGCGTCGCGCCAAGGATGTTCCAGGGCCGGTAAGGGGTCCGGGCTGGCTTGCAAAGAAAGGATCCTGTTGCCCGCCACATGAAGGAGTATCAGCAGCAGAAGAGGTTGATTGGCAATGGGCTTTGAAGTACAGTCGAAGCGGTGGCTGATCAGGGCGTGCCACAGAGGCGAGTGCTGTGATGCAAGATGCAGCCCAGCTGCCCAAGCATGTGCGCGCGGCAGTCTTGCCCTGTTGCCTCGCAGCTTAGAAACGTGTACAGCATGGTGGATGGTACAGACATCATCCACACAGGGGGTGCTGTGAGCCAGTGAGCTGTTGAAAACAGCAGGTTTGGGCTGATGGTTGTGGCAGCTGCTGCTATGACACATGACTGCGGTGCCCAGGACACCCTGAACCCACCCCATGCGACCTTGCACGCGAGAATTCAATCCATGCATGACTTTGTTTGCATTTATACACACGTCATCAGGCCCTTTAGATCGCGCGTATGGCAGTGCTGTTAGCATGAGGAGCCGCGGCCCCAGGACGAGGGCGCTCACGCTCCTTATAGCTGTAGCGTGTCATTTTCTTGCCTCCGCGCCCGCTGTCGTTTCCGCTGAGGTGCGGCGGGCATGGATTCCGTCTGCCGTGCGCCGTCGTGCGTTGTGCCCACCTGGTGCTGCGCCTGCGTCCTGCCGCTTCATCACTGCATGCGACGCCGCCGCCCTCGCGCCGCGCACCCAGGACTACACATGCGACAAGATCGTGCGCGTGCCGCAGGAGCAGCGCTGCGCCTTTGTCGTGGCCAATTGCGGCGGAGGTCAGCGGGGACCGGCGGAGATGGGCGGCCGCTGCCCTCAGCCGCAGCGCCGCCCGATGCGGTCGCCGCACGCCACTGCGCCCCCGCATCGGGCTCGCCCCGCTGACCGGCTCGCTCGCTCGCGCCGGATAATCGCGCAGCTCGCCTCGAACACGCTGCAGCTGCGGCCTCCGTGCGGCCTTACCCCGATCACACCTCCCACCTTGCTCTGGCCCCTGCCACGATTGCTCCGCCCTCTCCACCCAGAGGGCCTCATCCCCTACTCCCGCTGGTACCACTGCCATGTGGCGCGCCACAACGTCCTGCTGCGAGGCGCATACCTGGTGAGTCCCCTCCCCCACACCACCCAGCCGAACTCCACCACGCTGGCCACTGCAGCCATAGCCCCCTGCAAATCTTCCCGGCTGCATCCCCCTTTCCTCTTCGCTCAAGCCCTCAACCTCGTCTCACCCTCCTTGCCTCCAAAACTTCCTCCCCGCCGCACCTGCCCGGCAGCTGCTCGTCGCGGCGCTGCTGCCCCTCTGCTTCTGCCTGCTGGGTGACACCGCGGAGTTCTACTTCTCGCCCATCATGGCGCACATCAGCCAGTCAATACCCAAGATGCGCCCCCGCTTCGCCGGAGGTGCGGCGCGCACGCATGTGTATATGCATATGCATGTGCATATGCACATGCATGCATATGCATATGCACATGCATGCATATGCATGTGTGTGTGTGTGTGTGTGTGTGTGTGTGGATGGGTGGATGGG